CTACGCTTTCTTTATTTATGTTTTCATTTATGGCATTCTCAGATTTGCTCAAATCAAAACAAATTTCTATTTATGGTAGGAGCATAAAAGAAAGCAATATCTTCTTTATAAATGGTGTTGATTCTCTTTTGAAGAAGAGACACCGTGCTAGTCTAGCTGTACAATGCTCTCTCCACAGGCTAAAAAAGAGGATTGATGTCAATCTTTTACCAAATCTCCCAAATTAAAACTGTTTTTAAAGTGTCCCAGAGAAAGAGAATAGAGAAAAAAGGAACAAACACTTAATGAGGAATAATTACATCCTAGGCAGACACCTGACTATAAGGTAAGGACCTGGAGTGATATGCAAACATACTCACATATTTCCTTATTCTCTGTAGTGTCTATAGCAGTTTAGCCCATAAACTCATTTTCATTAAAAATTAACTTTCCCAAGTACATGTAGACACCACTACTTGTGCTGTTGCATAGTGTAGCATTTTCTGAGGAGGGCAGACCCTGGGTATCTTGTCCCTAACAGCAGTGTCCTTTAATGCTTACTTTTAATAAGGCACAGAGCTGCTCTCTCTGGTGAAGAAGGCTGTTTACTCTGCCCGCATGCATGTGCACGTGTGCGTGCACACACACACACACACACTCATACATGTTTATGGGTATATATATGCGCGCGCGCGCACACACACACACACACCACAATAAACATTTTAATTTCACCTTCCTTTAATCTAATCATCCATGACAGGATGCACAGAAATGCCCAAGGGTTTTCAGTCTGGCACCGCAGGTAGCCTCAAAGTAAGCAAAGGACCGCAAAGACAAGATGGCAGACAAAGGGTGACTTTTGGTCTTTAAAGAGGCATTATCAGTAAGCTCCAGTACCAAAAGATTGGTAAGCCAGTGCAAGGTTACCAACCTAATTCAGGGCAAGTTTTTAGTTTCCCCCTGAGCACAAAGTCTATTACCACCTCCAACCTTATTGTGTTCCCTAATCTGAATAAGCTCTTTGGTGAAAAATCAATGTACAAATAAGGGCATTCTTCTGAAGATAATGCTATGTGTTCACATTCCTGCAAATGGAACATTCTGAGCATATCTCTGTATGAGTTGTATAAGGAGACAAAGGGAAACTTTCTAAAAATCTTCCCCAAGACGACATTTTGAGGAAAAGAAAATATATATGTATATATATATCTAAAAAGTTAAATGAAGTATATAAGTTTTCTAAATATTTATTCCAGTCTAATATTGATATTATTCTTCAAAGGAAATGCATATTTGATAGATAATACTATCAAAATAAATATCATGCACAAGGAATATTTAGATAAATTAAGAAAATATCGTCTCAAAAAGTTTTATTAGAGACTGTTCACAGTGACATACGGAACTCTGATTTTCTAAGAAAACATTATGTATATAAACTTATTTAAAATTATTCTTCCTTAATCTTCCACCAAATTCCTGAATTATTTTGTTGAAACTTTCCTTATTCTATTTATAGTAAAAAAGCCAGGAAGAAATTTAAGTTGTCCATGTCATGGGTCTTCATTTTAGGTAGCTAACATTTATCTGCACATTTTTTTGTTACAGTTAAACACTGTTTTGTTTTTTAACCATGGGCCAATGGTAGCTGCAACATTCAAGATACTCCAAATTACACTCTTAAGATATCCCAAATTGTAGCTTAAGATATCTACAATCACTAAGATATCCAGAATCACACCACCACTTTTAATCACAAACACTTAATATTAAAAAATTAGTCACTGCACCTATAACCTGAGTCATTCCTGAATGATAAAACTATTAGGAACAAAGTCCCTGAATCAAAATGTCTGATGAAAACACTGGTATGAAACAAATTCTGCTTATAGGAAAGTTTTTCAGCCCTAAACAAATTTTAAACAGCAATCAGTATTTGGGACACACCTTCCTTGTTCTCTATGTGGAGAAATTATCTTTATTTAAAAAATCCTAGGAAAGTAACTATGGACCGTTGAAACAAATGTCTCTTCAGAACATACCATTTAAGTTGCTACCTCCATGTACATAAAAGAGTTTAGGAAGACCATTTTCATTTTAATGTATTTATTAAATGCCTAGTATATTGCAAGAAACTGCTAAGCACCATGAAGTAATGATGCCCGCATGGGTTTTGTGGTTTATTCAAGAAGAGAAGACATGCATATTAATTATAGCATAGAAGGATATAGGATAACCATCAATGGTAATAAAGTGTCAGAAGAGTCTGGAAGGTAGAGGTAACAGTTCATTCTGGGAGGATTAGGGAGCCTTCATAAATAAAGGTGTTACTTGAGCTACAAGCCAAACGGAGAAAATGTGGGTGGTAAGGTACTCCAGATGAAAAAACATTCAAAAAGGTGTGGAGGTGGAAAAGTAGAGTATCTGTAGAACAAAGGAGTCATGCAGCTGAAGCTTAAGATATTCAAAGGGGAACAGGGAAGGAAAATTGTACCTAATTGTGGAGAAGAAGAAATAAGGTGTCCCAATCTTCAGACTTGGTAGTTTGGACTTCCTTAATTTGATATTGAATTGTTGTATCTGTGTTCTTTTATCAAAAATAGTGCCATAAAGAGAGGGGTGTTTTAGTCAGATGCATTTGAGGGTGAGAGGTAAGTGGAGAGAGCCCAGGATGAAGGAAAGCAATTCTCAATAGCAAATGGAGGACTCCACATGTGCCAGGCACTGACACCATTTCATTTAATCCTAACAACAACGGAGTTATCAAGCATTTTTATAGATAAGAAAACTGAGGCATTCCAACAATTGGTGACCCAGAAACAAAACAGTAATTAATGGAAAATTACTCAGGTTTAGGGACCTAAGAAGCAAACATTGTGGAAGGTCAAAAGGGTAAGGAAAATCTAGGATCCTTTTAAGTACAAATGTAGTAGAAATGATTGGTGCAGAATCCAAGATAAATATGAAGAACAATGCATCAACTTGCAGAAAAGTCATAAATTAGCCTAAATAAAAAGGATGAAGAACAAATCCAATGAAAAAATAGAAAGTATGTAAGCCACATTGTCAAAAAGATTGTGTCAAAGAGGGAACCCCCTAAGATCTCAGTAATGACCAGCTTCAAAGTGATGAAATTCAGGGGTGCCAGGGTGACTCAGTTAGTTAAATGTCCAACTCTTGATTTTGGCTCAGATCATGATCTCATGGTACATTAATTTGAGCCCCACAGTGGGCTCTGTGCTGACAGTGCAGAGTCTGCTTGACAGTCTCTCTTTCTCTCTTTTTCTCTCTCTCTCTCTTAAAAATAAATAAACATTTAAAAATAAAAAGTGATGAGATCCTACTCTCTTGGTAGATAAAGAAAGTAGACTATGGATGTTAGTTTCCCAGAGTTAAGGAAACAGAAAAGTTATCTCAGAAAACATATAAAAATTCTAAAATAATTATGATGGGCGACAGGACAGAGGAAAACCATGATGCTAATGCTAAAGTCATTGAGGTTAAAAAAAAAAAAGCCCAAAGAACTCAGAAAGCTGAGAGTAGAGAAGAAGGCGATATAAATGCATGACTGGAAGGACCAAGAAGAAATTTTGAGGAGTACTGGTGATGAAACCATTGTTACCTGTCAGTATCAGTGAAGAATTAGGAAAAATACTGACTTTTTAAAAAATTACTTTGACTTCAGGAAAAATAAAAGGAACTGTCTTCATTAGCCCTAGCCACATCCATTATTATTATTATTTTAAAACCAGGGTGTCAAGAACTGAAGATGATAGTCATGGCCTCTAACTTACAAGATGCCTTCCTTACTCAAAAGAAGCACAACCCAAGTGATTACCTGCATCTGAGCTAGAGGCCCAAGGACAATCACAGGGTCTCAAACTCCTAAACAGGATTCATTGTGGGATCTCCAAAACCACTTTCAATACAAAATAAATGGCAAACTGCAACTTACTTAAATTTAATGAGAATTTAATACACAGTATTATGTATGGTTTGCTAATGCTGAACTTTTCTACTTTCACATAGTTCTAGTAATTTGTGAAGTTACACATAAACTTGATGATAAATCTGAAGATTAAGGTTATCTTGAATGAGTTTCTTCCAGACAAAACCACACTGTAAGGATGCAACACCCTATAGGTTGCTTACTTATTCTTTTGTTCTACACACACACACACACACACACACACACATATTTCTCTCTCTCTCTCTCTCTCTCTTTCTCTATACAAAGGTCAAAACAGCTTAGATTTCTAAAACAGGACTCCTGATAACAAACGGGCAGTTGAAGGTGAAAGGTGGAACAAGACCAAGTATACGGTTCATGTAACTTTCCACTTCAAAATGAAATGGAAAATTACACTTGGCTTTATTCCATTTTTCCAATTTTTATGCAGGTATTAAAAGTATCAGTCTCCTAAATCACATTTTCACTTCTTGCTGGGTTAAAGTTTAATTTTATATTCCTATTAAACTTATCCACATTTTTAGTAAATTGATGAAATCAAAGAACTAAAAAAATCCTACAATTTTACAGTCAGATTTATCTGTTTTGATAAATAAGAGAGTATGACATTTTAAGAGTAGTTAGTAACCTCTGCAAAATCAGATTCAGAGAAGCAGCTTTAAAAGGAAGCAATAATTTGGAGAGAAAGGGAAAGAATTTCCTTATAGGTCATTGGCTTGCTTTGTAAGTTGAACTTATAAAATCAATATAACCAATGATTGTTCCTCAGGGAAAAACTTTTTTTTAAAGAAAACTTATTAAATTAGTAATAAAAAATAGTTCTAAGTTTCAAGAGTCACTTGATGGGGGTTGTGGAATTCATAACATTGATACTAAAATATTATTAGGAAAAAAATTATCACCTTTTAGCATATTTTTAATAGATAACTAAATAGGGTGATGAGTGAAGTATTTTGTCAAAGAAAAAAATCAAGAAGTACATATAAAACAGAAGGTATCAACGACAGAAGAAGAAAGGGAACTCCTGCTTTCATTTGCTCCATCGTACCTGCCATGAACAGTAGTGGATTTGATAATATCTCCAGGTAGCACCACTGAGAGTTCAATGTCTTTATCTATCATGTTTTCTTTCTGTTCCATGATGCAAGCAGAGGAGTCTACAGTATCATCAACTGAAGAGGCATCAAGGTATTTGGTCTCAGCTGGAGGAAGTGGTGCCTTGGCTTTTGGTTTTCTCCTTAAATAAAAATAAAACGCAGTAATTAAATATATCCATTTTATTTTTAAGTTTATGTATTTTGAGAGACAGAGAAAACAAGTAGGGGAGGGACAGAGAAGGAGGGAGAGATAACCCCAAACAGGCTCCACACCATCAGCGCAGAGCCTGATGCGGGGCTGGAACTCACGAACCACAAGACCATGACCTGAGCCCAAATCAAGAGTCAAATGCTTAACTGACTGAGCCACCCAGACAACCCTAAATATATCTATTTTAGTAACTTTCTAATATGATCTAATTTAACAAAAACACAAAATGTGTGTGTACATGTTTTTCACATGTAGAAGAAACAAGCACCAAAATGTTAACTGTTTATTAGACACGATGGAATTAAGGATTTTTCTTTGCCTTAAAAAAAATGTTTATTGTTGGGCGCCGGGGGGTTCAGTTGGTTGAGTGTCCAACTTCAGCTCAGGTCACGATCTCCCGGTTTGTGGGTTCCGGTCCAGAATCGGGCTCTGTGCTGAGCTTGGAGCTCAGAGCCTGGAGCCTGCTTCAGATTCTGTGTCTCCCTCTCTCTGCTCCTTCCCTGATAGCACTCTGTCTCTCTCTCTCAAAAATAAATAAACATTTTTAAAAAATTAAAAAAAAAGTTTACTGTTTATTTTTGAGAAACAGAGAGAGAGAGAGACAGAGACAGGGAGAGGCAGAGAGACAGAACACAATCTGAAGCAGGCTCTAGGCTCCTAGCTGTCAGCAGAGAGCCCCATGCGGGGCTCAAACTCACAAACCTTGAGATCATGACCTGCACTGAAGTCTGACACTTAACTGACTGAGCTACCCAGGTGCCCCCTTTTATGCTTTTTTTTTTTTTTTAAATTGGTGCTCTCTTTTGTTTTCAACAACATGACTACATTAATTGGTAATAAAAAGAAACATGATAATAAATTCGATATTCACTTTCATTAAGTTCAATTAATGTATGTTTATTACAGTAAAGCAAAAGTGTAACATTTTCTTTAGATAAAGTATAAAAATCCTTGCTGTCCCAGGATGGAGATCAGTATCTCATTCCTATACCTCATCACAGCTCTTACCTATGTGCCTTTCACTCTATTTGTTTCCAACCTAGTGTGTTCTACCTCTCCAGATAACTCCTACCTACTCTTCAAAGTCTAGCTGAAACCACCCTTTCCTAACTCCTCAAAGTACAGTCTCTCCCTATAGCATATACCACAGATTCCATAAATGTGACATTTTTCCCATTTCCCCCTGGGTACCAGTTTCGTCTTTCTGCCTACGTTTATAACTCCCTGGAGGAAAGAAGCATGCTATTTTACCCACTGCACTTAGCAATGAACAATGAACTGTGATTGGTTATTTGATAAAATACATTTCTGCCTCAGTGAAAAATTCTACAAATAATTACTCTAGCAAATATGTTTCAGTGTCACTAGGGCAACCTCTTATAACCTATTTATAACAGAAATAGGTAGCAAACATGCTGAAAACATTCACATGGGCCAATTCAATGATTTGATGGGTTGAAAAAACATAAAAAGAAAGTAACTACAAATAATGACATACTTATTTTTAAGTACTACAAATTAAAACTTTTGAAAATGTGGTCTTTAATTGCTTTTGGAAGAATTACTACTGCTTTCCATTCAGAAAAAATATAAATTTTAATTTCTCCCTCTCCCCATTTCCCACACCAAGTAAAAACCAAATAAGAGAAAGGGCTTCTTTATAAGTAAATATGTAACATCCAGCCATTTAGTATTTTCAAAATTTAAAGTCTCAGACGTCCAAGCACCTTTATGCATTTGACATCATGAAAAGCAGAAATTTCCTACACTGTACATTAATTTTCCAAAATAATAGGCATTCAATTTTTAAGAGTATAATTGTGGAGATATATTGTACCTGAGAAAATATTTCTTTTACAGTAGTGACAAGAATGAATTTTTAAAAGTGTTACAATATATATAAATAATATATATATATAGATTTATAAAATCTATATAAGAAAAATTTTACCCAATTTCAAAACATTGTTAATATGTAGAATTGACTACTCATATGTTCAACCTACAACTGTCCTGTAAGAGACAATTATGTAGCCGATTCAGCTAAGCACTGGGGATATAAAGATGATAGGGCCCAATTCCTACTCCTAAAGAGTTCAAACCCCAAAAGGACCAATTAATACACACAAAATCATGACAAAGTTTGATGACTACTCTAATGTAGGTATACAAATGATACAGCTGAAGCTCATGGGAAGAGAAACTTTCCTAGGAACCCAGAAGTGTTTTACAGATAGGAAACATGAGTTAAGTTTAGGGGAATGAATAGAAACTACCGGGGTGGGGGTGGAGGGACATGAAGTAATTTACATTTCAGGCACAGGAAAGCAAATGGAACCATGAAAGAAACTGGTACTTTCACAGAATTGGATAGTTTGGTAAAAATCCACAGAAAAGTCAAAGGAGATGAGAAATCAGTAAATCAATTTTTAAATACTTTGACAAATAAGTAAATTCAGGGGATGCCTAGGTAGCTCAATTGGTTAAGTGTTGGACTTTTGATTGTAGCTCTGGTCATGATCTTAGTTAGGGTTCGTGGGATCAAGCCCCGCACTGGGCTCCATGCTGTTAGCAGATTCTCATTCATTCTCATTTTCTCTCTCTCTCAAAATAAATAATTAAACTTAAAAAAAGAATTCAGTAAACCAGCTCAGTATAACATGAACATGCTAAAGTCAATAGCCTATATAAACAAATGCAAAAGTAGTCAGAAAGTATAATGAAAAAAAACTTTTATACCAGCAACAAAAACGAATCTTAAAAATTGTTATAATACATATAACAAGAATTTCGCAAAATCTGTATGAAAAAAATCTTAAACGCCAAATATTCAGTTTGGATCTCTCCCTTCAACTCCAGATTTGTAAATCTAACGCCTACTTGACATCTGGACTCAGATGACTAACTGGAATCTCCAACTTAATTTAACTTCCGAATCCTCTCTCCAGCTCCTCTAAATCAAATCTTTTTATCTCCAAGTCTCCCTATCTCTATAAATCATAATTCTCCCACTTGAGCCAAAAAATCCCCTCACACACATAGCTGCAATCCAATCCATCAACAATCAATGTCTGCCACTTCTATATGATAGACCTGGATTCCACCAGCAACCCTGTTCACCAAACACCTCTGATCAAGTCACTAGGTAGTCTCGGTGATCCCACCGTTGGCCCTTCACATTCTTCTCAACACAGCTGCTGGAGTGATCCTTTTAAGTTGTAAGATCACCACACTTCCTCTCATACTCTCCAATGACTTCTGACTTCACCCAGAATAAGATCTAGAGTCCTATAATTTGTCCTTCCTTACCTCTGGTCTCTCTAATTTCCTCTTCCTGTCCTTATGGCACTCCAATACTGTGACTCTTGCCCTTTTCTGGAACACACCTAGAACAATCCTTTTTTTTTTTTTTTTAACATCTGTAACAATCCTGACTCAAGATTCTCACAGGGTCTGCTTCTAACTTTTTAAGAGAGTACCTCTATTTCTCTGCTTTATTTTTGCCATAGGGCTTATCAACAACTAACATACTTATTTTTTCATGTCTCCTTCTATTAAAGAGTAATTACTCCCATGACGATAGGGACTAGTCTCCACTGCCCTGTGTCACACATATTTGCAAATACATAGTATCTCTGGAACAATGCCTGCCACATAGCAGGCACTCATATTTATCGAATGAATGAATTCAATGAATATTTCCCACAAAAGAGGAGGCCCCTATGCATATAACTGGGAAGGAAAACTTCTTACCACCAAGGAAGGGAATGGATTTTTACATCCGAATAAACTGTGTTGGAGTTTTAGAAATTGATTATATTCTATTTTTGAGAAGATGAGTACTGGAAAATACACACTGGATTTATTAGCAAGAAATAACTGGGACACTTTGGGCTCTTAAAAGAGATTCATTAGGAAGGCTGAAGAGAAGCCCAAGTGCCACAGGCAGGGAGGTAAAGAAGCGGAACCATTGGGTCTGCAGCGGACATGGCTTTCAAGAGTGGAAGGACAGAGGTCTGAGACGCACCTCCTGTCACTGCCATCATCCCCCCCGGGCCCCTGATTTCATTAGGGATGAAAGGAGGCACCTTCTCATCTCCAGAAGAGGCCCATCCTGGTCTCTATTTGAATGCCCTCCTCATCCTCTCTACCTTTACACATATTATTTATCCCTCAAGATCCAGACTGAGTCATAATTCCCTTGGACATCTTTCTACTGCACACCACAATGAACTCTGACGAACAGTTTTAATGTTCTGTGTATGTGTGACTTTTATTTCCTAAAGTACTTTGAAGTCTGTGATGAAAACTCATCTTAAATTACTAAAGATAAGCCTACTTACAAAGAAAAAGGGAAAGCAGAACAAAGCACTAGTTGAAATATTATTTACATAGAACTTCTTTTAAGAACATCTTAGTGGGGCGCCTGGGTGGCGCAGTCGGTTAAGCGTCCGACTTCAGCCAGATCACGATCTCGCGGTCCGTGAGTTCGAGCCCCGCGTCAGGCTCTGGGCTGATGGCTCAGAGCCAGGAGCCTGTTTCCGATTCTGTGTCTCCCTCTCTCTCTGCCCCTCCCCCGTTCATGCTCTGTCTCTCTCTGTCCCAAAAATAAATAAACGTTGAAAAAAACAATTTAAA